AACATTTTTTATAATTTAGACATTTATAAAATATGTATTGTAGATTTTAATTAAATAATATTTTTTATAGGCAAATACTTACTTGTTGTTCTGATATGCAAATAGAAATTGGATCAGAATCACAATGTATACAAGCAGCTAAGCTTTTCAATGTTTGGATATTATTGTTATGAAATTGAGTTGTAATAGCTAATGTACACTGAGCACTAAATGGATAAAGAAGTTGTATTTTGTGTGAATATGATCTTTGATATGTGGTATCATAAGTATTATGAATTGTATAGCATTCCAATTTACAAAAATTAATTTGCCATGGAAAATATACGCCATCTGGAAAAATATAAAATTGAGAATTATAGTACTTAATTCTTTTGTTATAATATTATTTAAGTAMAAAATCACAAGGATTTTTGAAATTAATATTCTTTAAATTGTAGATAATTGTAAATTAATTTACATCAACACTTTTGAATACATCTATCTCAATTATAAACAAAATTAACTAAAATTTGAAAATCTTACCAGGAGACCATAATGTGTTAGGAAAACGCACTGGAGTTGTATTTAAATACTGTTCCATTTGATTTTTTGGTACAACACATTTTAAAGAAATGTTTGATATTCTTAATGCAAGCAATCCTTCTTCATTAATACTTAACATCTCAATTAACTCCTTTAGATCCAAATTTTTAGAGCTTTGAGATTTTTTTAACACTGATAATGATTTGCTAGGAAAATATAATGCGATTCTTGATGTATCAACAAAAACCATTGATGATTTCCATTTATTGAATAAGCGTACAATTTTATTTTCTTTAGACTAGAAATGGACAAAACCAAAAAAAAAAAAATATAGTCAATCTAACATTTTAATGTATGAGAGATACATTGACTTTACACTCCTAATAAAATGTATATTGTTTTCAAAAAATAAGTTCATAAATTGTACTAACTATGATATCATATTGATAGTATTTAAAATTATTAAATAATAAATTACTTTGGATTTTAAATGCATGTAGTTAGCTGAATGAAATGAAATATTATCCGAAACACTACTGTGAACAGATGGTTTAGGGTATTTTTTTTTTGGATCACTGCTAATGCTAGTTTCTGAAATTTTTCTACTTGGAGCGCTGTAAATTTAAAAATTAAAATGTTAAAAATATATATTATAACTCAATAAATAGAAATATTACCTGAAAAATGCTAAATCAGATGTAGAAGTTTTCTTTTTTATTTCTTTTTGCTTATACACTTTAGGTACGTAAATTAACCATTCAAATAACATAGGGTCTAAATTCATATCCAACTGTCCAATTTTTAAATATATTAGAGGTGTTTCATTGACATTTATTTCAGATGGAAATTGAAGAATTACTGGAATACACAAAAATAATTCTTAGATTATTATAAATTTTAGATTTTGAACGGAGCAATGAATTTATTGATTTTAAAAAAAATTGCCTTTGTTTAGTTAGTATTAACCAAAATTAGTATAAGAAATGCTCCGATTTTCTACTTTAAGGATTGTTTTTGTTATAAAATGTGATATAGTATTCTGGTTCTTTTGAAATTTCATAATAGAAAATTCACAGTTTTTAATCAGGCAAAACTTTTTTTTTTTAGCAAAACTGGCACTTTAACACAAAACCAGTTTTAATTATGTTTTTATTTTTCAGTTATAAATTCATAAAAAAAGTCCATCTGAGCTAACATCTAGAATCTAATCTCTTCGTGATTATTTACAAGCATTATTTTAAATACATTTACTTACCATGAAGGAATGGTATGGAGTGTTTAATAAATTCTTGAGTTGAGAATATAATAGCATTTGGATTAATATCATTTATTGAATTGTGTTTTACCATTTTAGCATTGATGTTATTGAATATAATTTTAGTACAAGTCACTTGATTTTCTGATTTATAGTATATTTTAACTCCTTCTAAATTGAATTTCAATACAACTGTACCTAAGTATAGTTATGAATAAATATTGTTAGAAATCAGTACTATTGAAATATGTTCGTGCATTTTTTTTTTAATATAAAATACTAAAATTTACATAAATAAACTAAATATAGGTATATTATGTTATAAACTACTCTCAAGTACCTTGGTTTTTAATTAGAACAAAAACAAATTCAACTTATGTATTTATCAAATTATTGAGGCACAACTATGTAACAGATTCTATATAAAAAATTTTAATATCTCACAGCAACTAAGGCCATTGGGAAGGGTAGTGCTGATTCTATATAATATTATGAAAAAATATGAATAATTCTTTTATTGATAAATATTCATCATTTTAAATATTAACATTTTTGAGAATATATTTATAACTATTTTTTATTGTAATAATTTTTGAAGTTTTTATTATTAAAAGCCAACATAGTTTTAATTTTTTCATATTCTGAAGTAGAATATAATTTAGGTTACCTATTTCAATAAATGTACAAAAAAATCAATTTTTGGGTGAGTTATTTATCAGTAATTAATTATAAGACATGACTTAAAAACCAACATTTTACATGATTGGAATTCCTATACCGATTTGATTACTGAAACATTAAATCCTTATAATTTATAAACTAATAAAAATATGATTATTATACATTAAAGTACACTGAGAACAATTTCGATTTGTAAAAAGAAATTAAAAATATGCATTACCATTCAAAAAAGTAAAACCTTGATGATGATAACCAAAAAAAAATTTATTTTTTATATATTTTCATCAGTTTTGAGTACAACTTAATTTAGCCTAAAAATTACTTTCAAAAATTTTAACAATTTTTAAATAATCAATATTTGTTGATAAAAGAATTATTCAATATAAATTGATAAATAATAAAAAAATGTAAAAAAATTAGTTCATATAAGCTAAGGAATTATAAGGTTTCATGCAATGAATTTTTATACTTCAAAAAACAACTAAACTTATGATTATTACCTGGTGTATCATCTAACAAAGAAGATCTAAAAATAACATTATTAACTTGTAAAAGTTGTCGATGATTTGACATAATTATTGAATGAACTATGTAATACATCAATAAGCAGTTTTCTTTCGATGTCGAAAAACTGATCATATCTAAATGTACATAAATACACAGAGTTAGGTAAACATTTAGAAATATGAAATTATTATAAAATGATGTAATTTTTTACCTATATCTAATATGCAATCTGAATTTGAATCAATATCTATTGTAGTATTAAATCCTATATTATTAATAACGAACAATTTCTGTGTTGATTCAAAAAACACAATATTTGCTACCAAATCCTTTACCTTGAATTTCCAAAAATAATAATAACAGCAATATTATTTAATAGTTTAATCAACCCTTATTTTGAAAACAATAAACGATCTTAAACAATAGAAAATTATTAAAAATACCAACCCTAAAAATAGACTTGGTTTTCAATTGTGTTTTTTTTTCTTCAGAAATATTTTGAATTATATTTCGAGGTAATATTGACCATTTAAATTTTTTTTTAGGTGTCACAATTCGACCATCTAGAACTTTCAATTCAAAAATAGCAACTGGTGGATTTTCAAATACAGGGTCAAATTGTTTTGAACAAATTTTTTGATTTTTCTGTTAACATATTGAATACCTAGATTAAAAAAAATTCATTTTATTTAAATAAAATTTTACCTTGTGTTTCTGAGTTGAAGTTGAAATTGGAACATGACAAGCAGGAAATACTTTAATCATAGGATTAAAAATTGTGAACTGGTAAACCATTACTTGGACATAGGAATTTATCAATGCATTATATTTTTCTTCCATATCTAAAAAAAAAAAGAAAGAATTAATTTATGTATATTAAAAAATAAAATATACAAACATAATTGTTATAAAATCAATATTACCTGAACGTTGAAGTTGATGAGGAGCAGTAAATACTAATAAATCATGACCAAGAATTAGTTTATATATGAATTCAGCTCGATGAATTAGGCCTGATGATATGTTCAAACTACTTGGTCCCGTGACAAATCGTAATAAGCATTTTTCTTCCGAACTTAATTGCATATATATACATATCAATAAATAAAATTAATGAAGTATAGTTATGTAAAAACTTAATTATTAATATTATAATAAGTAGGACCCGAACTAATATGCACTAAAAATATACATAATATGCATGCATATATGTACTGATCTTCATTCAAATCTGCAATTACAATATGCATAAATATGTGAACAAAAATGCATTTTAATTACATTTATTTAGTTTAAAAATGTATGTAATTCATTAAATAATTAATATGGAACAAAAAATATATTAAATGCATACTTATAATTTAATTATATTTTATATGATGTATACAATTGTATGTTGCATTTTTAACATTCACTCATTTAAACTCATGAATAAAAATCAATCAAAACAAATTTAGTATATTTGTATAAAACAATATTTTAACTTTTAAGGTTACCAGGAGAGTTACAGTTAACAACTAAAGACTGGGATAAAATTTCAAATTAAAATGAATGTTGATTTTTAGCAAAGTTTTTTCTTATCACATTTGCTTCAGGTTTTACATACAACAAAGTGTTAAGTATTATTATTAATAACAATTTTACTTTAGAAAAATGCTCAAATTTTAAAATATTCTAAATATGCAAAAATATGCAACACTTAATTAGGCATACCAACAAATTAGGTTAAGGGTAATTTTTAATTTAATAAATAAAAATATGCAAATGCATTCAATTACGGGCCCTAATAATAAGTTAAAGAGCTAAAAATTAAATAATTATAAAAGTATAAATAATATATAGATAGCTACAATAAGTACTAGTACTAGGTTGGAAAATAATAAAAGACTTAAATAACAAACATAATAATTTTCTCAAAAGTTTTATTAGTTGATAAGTATATATTTTAATTTATTATACTCACACAAAATTAACATTTTCATTATCGTCATTACAATTACTCTGGTATGTATTAGGTATTTGAGTGAATAAATAGTCAATTGCAAATGCAGTTGTCTTTTCTAAGAGAATTGTTTCTAGAAATAACACAATTATAAATATATAATTAGTAAATTATAACAATAGTTTTAAGTAAAAACTTATAAAATTTTTAAAAAATAACCAAAATAAAATAGTGAAAAACTTAACCAATTCCACACTTATTAGTTAATTCCATATATCTAACACATTGTAAATTATTAATAATTAGAGTTTGGATCTAAAAACAGTAAAAAGTACTAAAACATGCTAAGAATGCTTTAATATACCTAAAAAGTTTTAAAATGTGTATTATAATATTCCCTAAAATATGAACAAACAGAAACAATTTATTTGAATAAATGATATGGAGAACTGACTGTTGAGTTATAATTGTTAATATATGGACATTGGTAGTTGAAATGTTCAAAAAATGCTCTAGTCAGAAACAAACAAATACAACTCATTTAATAATACCCCAAGTTCTGTTAATGATAAAAATTATATCTTACCACTAAATTTACTCAAATGATCATTAAATGAAAATATATTATCATTAAAAGCATTAATGTTATTATCTTTAAATAATGACTTAGATAAATATGAATTTTGTACCAAGCCTGATGAAAAATAATTAATCTGAAAACATAAAATATAATACTTTTATATTATTTAAAAATATTATTAACATATCATGAGTATGATGTTTTTAAACTAACCGTATAACAATCTTGAGCACCACAAGTACAATCTCCTATAGAATCTATACTCGCTTTACTAATACCAAACTGTACATTAATCCAATCTGGTGGATTAGACACCATTTCAAGTAAAGTACCATTAAAAGTAATTTGTAATAATGGTCTATAATCATTTAATTTCTTATTTGATTTGATCTAGAAACACATAATACAAGATATTAGATCAATAATAATGTTCATTGAAACCTCCCTTAACGGACACAATTAATTAGTGAACACCTCTCAATGATGGACGCAGACAAGTTTAAGGAGTTCTATGAGCTTGAATACCTCTAAATGACGAACAGATATATCAAGAAACAAAAACCTATGTAATCAATGTAACGTTTACGACTAATGGCCATTGTCAGAGAGGGTTTTGGATCAATAAAAAAAAAAAACCTATTTGTATTGTACTTGAACATTATATTTTCGATAAAGACATTTATGATTTAATTTATGTGATTTGTACCTTTATATACAGTCGATAAGCCAAAACAAATGATAGATAATTAGTAATTACAAAAATATATGTTACATGAACTTCCAACTTGTTATGTACTGTATCTACCAACTGTTAACTTCTCCCAGGGAAATAACGTCAAAAATCTAGCCGCCGGACCGGGAATCGAACCCAGGTCTCTCGCTTGCCGGGCGATTGCTCTACCACTAAGCTACCAGACCGCATAGACCTAAGACGCTATTATCCCCAAGTTAATGGATGTTTACAGTACCTACATATAACTGTATTTTACCAATTATTATTAACTATGGTTTATATTCTATAACTCTCCAGACCTGAGAAGAAAAAGATTAATTGTATTTAGAAAAAGTAAACATAACTATGGATAAATAATTTTATATAGCCAAACAATATAACAAATTGTTAATTGGCTTTCTTTATCATAGTAATTTTTTATAATAGATTTTCAAACATTGATAGCCGTGTTAAATAAAATAAGTTGAATTTAGAAAAAATCTTTGGAAATACCATCTAGATATAAAATATTTTAGTAATTTATTAGTAAGAATGAAAGATAACTGCACATTATTTTTTTCAAAGAACAATATTATGTGATGATAAAAATAATAATATGTGATACTAAAAATATCTATAAATAAGTACAAAACAATATAACTATAATTACTTACTTTAAGAACAAGTATAAGCGTATCAATGTATATTCCAGTATTTAATGTATGACCACCACTAATGGCTGCTTCTGGACTAAGAGAAAGATTATTTACTTCACTAGTTAAATTAACACTTGGTACCCAATTCCACATCCAATCAACCCAACCATCATTATTGCCTATATTTGATTCTGAAACTATACGTTAAAATTATAAAGTATAATAAACTTTTGATTCAGGGTTTTGAGTTTTCAAAAACTTTAATTTAGTTAATTTACTTTTACATGATATGTATTAGTGATGGGCATATACAGATTTAAAAATTCAAATTATTCATGGATTATCCGGATTATTCAACTTGATTTTGCAAAATCAATGACTAATTTTAATTTACTAATAATATTTTAATTCTATAACATAATTTTTGGACATAGGTATACAAAAATTCAAACACGTTTTAGGTACCAGTGATATCATAAAGCTTAAGAATCAATTTATTGTTAAATTTTCATAATAATAAAATAATTTATTTTACTATACATTAAAAATAATTGCAAGTCTATAGTCACAAAAAAAGCAAATTCGGACAATCCACATAAGAATTTGATTCAAATCCAGATTTGGATAATTCAGATATTCAAATTTCATGCCCATCCCTAATACGTATATCTAAAAACATAAATGTATTTTAAATAAATATGAGGTATCAGGATGTACAGGAAACAATAAAAGGAGATTGAATTCATAAAAGAGTAGATATTTTGGTTTATGTAGGTTACATAGTAGTAATCGCTGAAGTATGGGTAAGTTTAGCAGGATAAAATACATTATTTTTTATAACAAAGATTGATTTACTTGAACTACAGCTGCTAGGACTTCTGTTATAAATTTCATCATCAATACAGTTATTTGTTTCTGGTGTGTCAKTCGGATTTAATTCCAATATTAAAGTTAACAATCTCAAAAACATTGGTAACTGAGGTTCAGTTAGAATAAAAGCAATTTTAGAACAAAACATATCCATTTGAGTTGCATAAGGTCGGGCAGAATGAGGAGTTCGAAACATACGACATAATCTTATGGATAATGAACATTTATATAATAATGGTTCTAAGTAAGTTTCTATACATCCTGAAGCATTTCTTCTATCCAAGCAAATAGTTACGTCTGACAGATTAACAATTTTTCTTAATGTTAACTGAGATGGTGTTAACTCTAAAAAATCACATGAAATATATATGACGTATAAATAGTTATATTACAGAAAACTGTAATCATGTTTCATTGTTATACTTACCAATAATATCAGGTATCCAGCTTGAATTACACGAATCTAGAGTAATTGACTTAATATTCATAGACAGTACTATATCATCTTCAATATATTTTAAAATAACATTATTGCACGTTACAGAAAGATTTCCAACAATTTTGTTGATCAAACTTTGTACGTATGATGGAGGTGGTAACTCATTATAATCGGTATTTTCTCTATTGCTAAAAAATAATTAACAATTAATAACAATTAATTTAGTAATACATCTCTATAATAAAAAATTAAGTTAAAAACTTAACATTCAAGATATAAATTTAAAAATCTGATAATTCTTTATGATTTTCATAAAGAACAATATTAATAAAAAAAATTTTTTAATATATTACTGCAAAAAGAGGTATAGCGAAATAACATTTAAGAAATTTAAAGCAAATAAATTTGCCATTTGATATTAGATACTTTTTATTAATCTATATTAATTCAGTACCAATCCATTATCATTAATAAACATACTAAATGTAGCATAGTAAGTGTAAAATTAAAATCTGATATTATTAACTTTTTTATTAATATTTATACAAACTATCAATAACTATAATTGGTCCTAATTCTATTTATTTACTATAAAACTACCAACAAATCGCAAATCAATAACAATAACTAACTTGCCTTGTATCATTCTTTTTAGCTTTCCTCTGTTGTGGAGTCTTTAATTTTAAAACACATTCTAAAAAACACATAAGAATGTAGTTAAGTACATTTAAAACGTAATAATCAAACAACCAAACCCAATTAAAGCCAAGTGACTACAAACAGATATTTACCTATTGTGTCAATAATAATTTTAACTGATTCTGATCCTAGTTTAGTCCATGGAACTCTAATTAACAGTTGATTTATGTGACCGCTTATTACAATAAACGGTAAATTTAACTCTTTCTCCAAAACATCTAAGTCTAATTCCAAATTTTGAAATAAACCTTCTCCGTCCCATAGTGATACCTAAAAATTATATCAACCATTAAACTATAATAATCATTCTTAAAATATTCACAGTTATTATTAATATTTATAGTTTGTTATAATTAATATTATATACTTGAGCATCTTGACGTCTTAAGTTTTTTACATATTTTTCAACATAACTTAGTATAATCGATGTAATATATGATTCGATTCTGAACATTGTATATAATATCCTACAATGAAAATAAAATATAGCAGAACTACTGAAGTACTGACTAATCCAATTCAAAATTCATTTTCTACGTGTCTGTCGAGCATCTCTCTACCTATAGTGAACCTCTGTAATCTATATTCTATATATTATTTACTGATTACTGATTATTCTGTGAAGTCAATTCAGTTTTCAAATACAAAATAATATTATTCATCAAACATATAAACTGATAGCTTATCAGTAATCAACCAATAATAACATTGATATATCACTAAACTCTATAGAGTAAGTTATACCACAGAATAACCTGAATGGACACTCGCTGAGCACTCAAAAATATCAGTGTATCCATGTATATTGCAATTTACGACTTTATTACTTATTAGGCTAAAGGTAATTGCCCCTGTTCGGGGAATAACAGCCGCGCTAGAAACAAAGAATAATGAGAATTATCTTTCTACCGGCAGCACTGATATTCCACCAGGTGTTGCAAATCTGTACCCTATAAGAATTAAGAACCCATGCAAGCCGCTAGGTGGATTTATAAATCCACCTTGAACCTATGTTAAACTGAAAAAGTGTCTCTTCTGGTTATTCTGTGGTTATACTGTATATATACGTGCTTATTGTTCTTCTATTCTAACAGGGTATAGACCAGTCATGACCAACCCGCGGCCCGCGGGCCACRTGTGGCCCGTTACAAATTATTAAAATAAAACAAAATATTCCAAAAAATATTCCAATTATTACAAAATACGATTTTAATTAATTTATAAATAAAAAATACAATAATAAAAATAAAAATAAAAAGTATATAAAAATGTTTTTAATGTGAAATTTGAACTTGTGTTTCTTTGACTAATAATGAAAAATCTGGTTGGAATTTAGTTGTTCCAATCCTCAAAATTGAATGAAGGTGTTCATCCGTAAGTCGCGATCTATGAACTGATTTTGTTTGTTTCAT